CCCATTCATTGAATTGGTAGGGAAATGTATTTTTCTTTTAAATACAATCAGTGATATCAATAGTTATTATTAAGATTACTAATTTTATTTTCAATCTTGGTAACATTTAAAACAATGATATAATACAAAAAACCTTTCCAAAAGTCAAGGGAAAGTGTAAACAGGTGAGATAGGTAGAACTAATGACTGACTCCTTTGTGATTAAGCACTTGTAGAGCCCTCTATGTGTAAATACAATAAATAACCTTATATTACACTGGGCATGGCGTGTATTCTTGCCCTCCATGCCAATTGGATTAAATAAAGAAATATACAGACTGACAGCAAATCAGAGGCCTGCATCCCTCTCACACAATAAAAATATACAAATAACAAATAAATATAATCATATTTAAATCTATAGATAAACTGGTTAATGCAGTCACAAATACTGAACATAACATAATTCTCAATGTCAAACATAACATATACAAAGATTAGTTACTTAATGCAAGGGGGGGGGGTGTCCCTAATCCCTCAGCTTCCTACAAAAAGCCTTGTTATCTCTAGTAATCTCACCTTTCTTAAATGTGTTCAAAATATTATACAATACTAGCATGTTACAGTTTGCTTCTAGATCTGACTTTAAAGTGTTTTTTCTCTGCTGAAATTTCCTACTCAGCAGTTTAAAAAGTGTAGTATATATCTTAATATTCACATAAAGGAACAAGCTCTTTGGAGAATCTTCACACAGAGACAAAAAAGTTATAGAATCCTTTTCTTATGAACTTGTTGACAGAACATGTAAATTAGCACCTTGTAAATCACAGATGAGTATGATAACCCAAAAAATCTACTGGTCACACTGCTATGAAAAATCCCCATAAACAATACAAAACATAAACCTCTAGAAATTCAATAAATATCCAACTGGAACAAATTTTTTTATAAAATACAAAGAAGAGATACAACAATATAAAGCACCCAGCTCACTTCAAATTCACTACAGTTCTGGCGGGTTGACAAATCTGATACACAAAATTATGCTCCTGATAAGATTATCAATTCACACTTGTTTGTGATTGGCCATTATGAACCATTGGAGGATCTGCACATTTTGTAAGTTCACATAAAAAAGAGGCTGCTTAACTGATAAAAGCAGAGGGGTAAACACAAACTGACAGACAAATAAACAGAAGACAGACAGTTCCTGTTAATAATTCACAGACATGCAGAAAGAAAGAGATAAAGATGAATGGTTGAATAGCCAAACTGGTTAATATATGCATATATAACAAAGACAACATTAATGTATACATGTATGTGGAAGTATTCACAGTAAACGCATACATACATACAATACAAAGGAAAGTAAAACTATGATATGATACCAACTATACTGCATTAGCATTACAGACTAATCCAAAATTCTGACTGATGGGGAAATAAAACATTATCTATAGAAGTTTGGCCTCTGTATAAAAATCCAGTCATACAACATAATAATCAAGTATAAGGTAGAGACAGATGCAATTGATGTGTCACTTCAGTTAAAGGGTAATAAATCCCATTCACTAACTGTATCATAGAATCATTATAAATGTCTTACATACTCTTTAAAGCCAATTTCTCCTAAGACACATTCTGCACTCTAAAGAGACACTTATATCACAATGAATTAGCCATTTCTCACACATAAACAGCTATATACCACACATGCTCCAATTCCCACTACTCTAAATAGTCAACAGATTAAAAAGTGTAGTATATATTCACATAAAGGAACAAGCTCTTTGGAGAATCTTCAAACAGAGACAAAAAAGTTATAGAATCCTTTTCTTATGAACTTTTTGACAGAACATATAAATTAGCATCTTGTAAATCACAGATGAGTATGATAACCCAAAAAATCTACTGATCACACTGCTATGAAAAATCCCCATAAACAATACAAAACATAAACCTCTAGAAATTCAATAAATATCCAACTGGAACTAATTTTTTTATCAAATACAAAGAAGAGATACAACAATATAAAGCACCCAGCTCACTTCAAATTCACTACAGTTCTGGCGGGTTGACAAATCTGATACACAAAATTATGCTCCTGATAAGATTATCAATTCACACTTGTTTGTGATTGGCCATTATGAACCATTGGAGGATCTGCACATTTTGTAAGTTCACATAAAAAAAGAGGCTGCTTAACTGATAAAAGCAGAGGGGTAAACACAAACTGACAGACAAATAAACAGAAGACAGACAGTTCCTGTTAATAATTCACAGACATGCAGAAAGAAAGAGATAAAGATGAATGGTTGAATAGCCAAACTGGTTAATATATGCATATATAACAAAGACAACATTAATGTATACATGTATGTGGAAGTATTCACAGTAAACGCATACATACATACAATACAAAGGAAAGTAAAACTATGATATGATACCAACTATACTGCATTAGCATTACAGACTAATCCAAAATTCTGACTGATGGGGAAATAAAACATTATCTATA